ATGTGCATGCCAGACATGATTGCTCCTTTGGGTGGGCAATCCTTTCTTCTGTCCTTCAATGATGACACCGCCCACCTCCGGGTCTTGTAAGCTTGCTAATCACCCATATGTGTGATGCACAGAGGCCATGACGAAGAAAGGCAGGTTGCTTACCTGTAACTGTCGTTCTTCGAGTGGCCATCTGTGCAGTCACACAACCCACCCACTGTCCCCACTCAGTGTCAGTGAATGGGTTTATACGGTACTGTTTCTCCTCAATACTGGTTCTGTCAGTAAATTTTTTTCTCTATGGTCCAGCAGTTTCCCCCTGTAATATCTCTCGCTCCCGTGAGGGGACAAACGATCGGTCTTCAGTAGACTGAGGAAATGGCGAGCACTCTGCCCTTTTATACCATGGGGGGAGGAGGGGTGCGGAGTTCCCGTCAAAACCATTAAGCTTTAAATCTTTCTGGCCATAGACACTGCACAGGCACAGCACCCATATGTGTGATGCACAGATGACCACTCGAAGAACAACAGTTACAGGTGAGCAACCTGCCTTTACCTAGCAACATAGTATCAAATCTGTTTCTATTCCACATATCAAATACTTTATCTTTATGCTAAGTCATGTTCAAAGACATATCCAATTAGCACCTTCATGTTTTTCCTACCATTACATTTGTGTATATATAGTGCATATCTGTTTTCAGATTTGTTTTTGGAAATTGTTTTACTCTCCAGAAGGTCACTTGTCAGGAAGGTGTAATATTATACCATCAATCCCAGATTGTAATAAAATGATTGTATCCTCAACTTCCTTTAGGATAGCTGAAATACAACATTCTGTTTACCAAGTCTGTTATTTATTTAGTATAGCTTTATACCACCCATCAAGTCAAAAGTTGCCTGGGCCGGTTATGCCTAGACAGAGGATTTGCATCATATCATGTCACACATCCCGAAGATTAATTCATATAATCCAGATTACAGTATGTTGCAAGTAGATAACACCAAAAAAGAAAAGTAGACCATAGTGGGGTGCTGGAAAAACAGACAGAGGTGGATAATTCAAGGAATTCTGTCAGTGAGTTAATCATCAGAAACTAGTAATAGTCATACACTGACTTCAAATTGTTGTTGTTGTTTGCTTGCTTTATTTCTGCACTGCCCCACATCCTAGCCTTTGTATATGGACATTCCATTTTTAACTGAAACTGAACTAAAGTTTGCTATCCCATGTAGCAATTCCTTGAGAAATATTATTTTATCCTGCTTTTACCCTCTTTTCAATTTTTCAGCAGAAGTCTTTATTTATTCCTGGAGTAACCCGAGCAAGCGTGTAGTTCCAAAGGATCATTTCTATATCTCCCCTTTCTTCCCCTCTTTCACTCTCACTGTATTTCAGTGCAGGGTGAGCACGTCAAGACACAGAAGGAAACAAACCTCTTTCTGTGACTTGAGAGCACTGTGTTTCCCTCTTTATACATTGAAAAAGGAGCACAGAAATGAAACACAGGGACCCAGTGATGTAGGAAAACATCAGCCTCTTTCTGAGAAAAGGCCTGGTATCTTCCAGGACTGCCATGTTGCTGGCAAAGGGGGACACATGAGGGTTGAATGGCCTGGTGAGGACAAGTAGCAGACTGTGTGAAGAGACCAAGAGAGCTGCTTCTCTGTGCTATCAGTGATGTCATAAATCTCTAACATGTGCTTTCCTTGTGATCATGTTTTCTAAGTTAACAAGTTCCAGTCAGTCTACAGCTCCATAACTTTCTAATGACATATCTTCTCCAATTCGATTGTTTCTTTTTAAAGTTGTGAAGACTAATGCACTAACAGGTGGGAAAAGAGCCATTCATGGCCTCAGTAACCCAAAGATGGACAGTACATCTTGGGTATGACAGGTTTGTTTGTTTGTTTGTTTTTAGTTGCAAAGTCATGCCCGACCCCATGCACAACATTCCTCCAGACTCTCCATTCTTCCACCATCCCTCGGAGTCCATCCAAGCCCACACCCACCACCCCAGTGACTCCATCTAGCCACCTTATCCTCTACTGTCCCCTTCTCATTTCGCCATCAATCATTCCCAGCATTAGGCCCTTCTCCAGTGAGCTGTTCCTTCTCATTAGGTGGCCAAAGTATTTGAGTTTCATCTTCAGTATCTGGCTTCTAAAGAGCAGTCAGGGTTGATTTCCTTTGGCTATGACAGTGGCCCCTTCTCATTTGTCTGCAGCACTCATCCCTCCCTCCCCCCCATCATGGTTAGTATTCTCTTAGAATACACTGTCAAGGTAGTATGCATTCTCTCTCCCACTATCAGTAAAGGTTAACTACACATTACGTTGAAAATGTAACTAGTAGCTGGATGTATCTCTCACAGACCCACCCATTTTTTCACTAAAAGGTAAATGCAGAAGACAAACAGATCGCTTTTTCACAATGTAAGATTGTAGTCATGGGAGCCTTGATTTGGATCAGGTCTGCAGGCGACAGCAAAGTGTTAAAGGCCTATATTCTCCAGGATAGTGTCCCAGATTCAATTCCCTGTGCTTACACTGGAATAAAAGTGGGGGAAAAGATGTTGCTGCTGTTTTCCATCTTATGTTTAGGAAACAATTGCTCCCTAGATTGTATACATGTGTACGCATGTGTATAAAGATGCTTTTCTGTATAGGGCGGGGTATAAATGTTTTTAATAATAAATAAATAAATGTAGCTTCTCAAAGACATAAGAGTAGAGCACCAACCTTTCTCAAGTCTTTGCTCGCATGTATTTTGAAGGAAAACTTGATGATTCATACAAAAGTGTAGCCTCGATAACTGATGCTCTATGTGTTCAGTTTATTCTTAGGAATTGCATTGTGTGTTCTTAACTACACGTTGCTGCATGACCCACATTGTGCAATACTGGGTTAGAATGTAAGCTTTCTGTCAAATCCTCACGACAGTTATGCTCATGGCTGTTGTGTACGTCACTGGCTGATTAAGCTGAAACATGTACAGTGCTTTGAGCTAGCAAGCCCTGTTCATTTCCAGTGTGCCTTGTTTGAAGATTTCCTGGATTAGCTAAGTGTCATGTTCAATGCAGAGCTGCAAGAGATCTCCATGCTTACATGGAGGGGAAGGGATAGGCACTTTCAACTATTTCCCTTCATCCCGCATTTCCCGAGCATTGCCTCCTGTATCCCAAGAAATCTATTCTAGAGGGTATGGTGAACTTCTAGAAATGTATGGGAGTTGGCTCTGGACACTTAAGGTATAAGGAAAAATGGTCAAAAATGATCTTCTCTGCTACTCTGAAAGCAATCATTTAGCAGAGTCAGATCCTTCGCTAAATCAGAACAGCAGCTCTGGATCAAGTCCGCTATTTCCTGCTATATTTGAACCAGGAAACTATGATTACGAAGTTCAGAACAAACCAGAATCTACAACTAATATCACTATTTTGCTTGAGAGACTAAGCCATTTCACAGTACGATAAGATGATATTTATATAAGCTAAGAACCATTTTAAGGAATTGTCAGAAAGAGTGAGAACTATGTAATTGACAAGGCCTGATCCTTGCTGTAATATCTCTTAAGAGCATTTGAGGTATTTTTGCGATGTACTTTTATTTGAATAAATCACTGAGTTCAGCTTGATCAAACATTACAAATGCTATTCATGTTACACTGAAATATGTGGTTTTAGCATAGTTGGCAATATACTTGCAAAACGGAGGTGTAAGAACTTGGAAACCTGGACAATCCAAACTAGAAATGTACAATTATCAATATAAATATCATTAAGGATTGACAAACCTGCTTGGTTATATTTTAGCTACTGAGACATATCTACTGTGAACCGTGAACTGAGAAGTTCACAGTAGAGCCAACATGGTGTTTGTAAGCTGTCTTGAAATCCATCTTTGATATAGACAGGATAAAAATGTTTTAAATAAATAAATATAATAAAATAAGACTTCATTTTCTGAGACTTGCACAATCCCATGCAAGTCTACATAGAAGAAAGGACTATAGTCCTAAGCGTGGGGTGCTTAGTATGCTTATCTTGCTCTGTCTAATTTCCAATGTGATGCACAAACTCTCTGCACTGCTCTGTGCTGAGAACCTCTTGGCACTACAGTCATAACTGTGCTAATTATATTTCACAGCCTTTCTAGAGCTTCTGGCTCTGCTGTGGCATCTGGCAGAAGCCACAATACTGTGAACATGGGAGTCACAAAGACCAGTTGCCTTGTTAGAAGACAGAAGCCACACTATTTCAACCATTCACCGTAACACCAAAAGTTGTTGCATGGCTGCAAGGTTATGTAGTGTCTTAAAAGCCAGTTACAGATATGGCTTGCCAGACACTGATACTAGCAAAGGGGAGGGGAAGGAAATATCAGCACCATCCTGTCATCCCATAAATGTATTTTATGTTTAACTTGTCTTTAAACTGTAACTATTGAAAAGAAATAACTTTATAGTAAAGGTGATAGTGAAGCATCGATCACATTCTAAGTGTCTTCTAACAAGAGACTCCACTTCTTTCTCTTCAGACATTGTTCATTAAGAGCATCTTCTTGGCTGAAAGAAAACAATTTTTCTTACCTGATAGCTTAATGTGATATTTATCACCTATCCCCACTCTGCTTCAAATGAGACAGGTAACCCTCCAAAAATATAACTAAATTCCATGAATGTACATCTTTTAACTTATAAAATTGTACCATGACTGATTAGTGAATGCATTAGTACAGCACACTAAGTTGGTTGTATTTGGATTCCACTGGAATTTTTCCCACTGATTTCAGTAGGAACTAAGGGCAACTGATTTAGTCTGGATACAAGGCACTAATTAAAAGTCATTTGGGGATACAGTAATAATTATGATGATGATCCAAAACAAATATTCCTATTTCTTACTACAGCATTTCATATTTTTGTTCTCCATTTTTCTAGATCTTTCTTGGTGATCTTTCGGTAACGTAAGTACACATAATCAGATGACTTTGGAATATTTTTCACATCAATGATGAAAGGATTATCTGGCAGTCGCAGTCACCATCATGGGATTGCCTGTGAACCAGCATGTGACTCTCTGGTACATCACTCAGACAGGAAGCCATATTTGTTAAATCCTGTGGACCATCATCCTGCAGATCATTCTTACTACACTCAGAGGAACTCTTTTCAGGGAGAATGCATGGTTCCCTACAGTGATCAGATTGCCAGCAGCACATTTCCTCGGAGACATTACAATTCCCATAATGAACTTAAAGATGAGTGTGCTTTAGTGCCACATGGAGCAGCCAATAAAAGTAATCGCATTCCTGCCAATCTTTTGGACCAATTTGAAAGGCAGCTTCCTCTGAATCGAGATGGCTACCATACTTTACAGTACAAAAGGACTGCTGTAGAACATCGTAGCGATAGTCCAGGAAGAATTCGCCACTTAGTCCACTCTGTTCAAAAACTTTTCACCAAGTCTCATTCTCTTGAAGGCCCCTCAAAGGGCAGCATCAATGGTGGCAAAGCAAGCCCAGAGGAGACTCAGACTATGAGGTACGGCAAGCGTAGCAAGAGCAAAGACAGGAGATCAGATGGAAAATCCAGGTCAAATGCATCAGGATGGTGGAGTTCAGATGACAACTTGGACAACGATGTTTGTATTTACCATGGACCAAATGCAGTTATGACTATGGGAAGATGCCCTGACCGTTCTACTTCTCAATACTTTATGGAAGCCTATAACACTCTTAGTGAACATACTGTGAAGCCTTCCAGAAGCAATAATGATGTCAAATGTTCCACCTGTGCAAACCTGCCAGTAAATTTGGATGCTCAGTTAATGAAAAAAAGCTCCTGGTCCTCCACACTGACAGTGAGCAGAGCCCGTGAAGTTTACCAAAAAGCTTCCATGAACATGGACCAGACAGTGGTGAAATCAGAAACATGCCAACAAGAGCGGTCTTGCCAGTATCTTCAGGTACCATATATGTTATTGATTGCATTGCTTACACTGCCTTTGGTTCCTTACATACTTTTCATACTGAGATGAGACTGCAAATGAAAGATGAAAGTGGGAGTTAATCCAAATACAAATTATGAATAAATCTGCATTTTGGTTGCTAAGAGTCAGTGTTTCAAATGAATGCATACAATGAGGAGCTGGTTCTCATTCTTAACATGAAAAGAACAAAAGCTCTCTGAATAATTTGGAGGGATTAAAAAAGCACTCAGCCACAAAACAGCACAGCAGGGTCACAAGGGAGCTGGAGGTAGTAAAGCTTTCATTTAGCATTACAATCTCAATGAACCTGGTATTACCAGTACAGACATTCATTAGCTTCTGTAATCTTAGGATTTGCCTTCATTTTATTATTTTGTGATGAAAATTTGAGTCCCTTTGAACATTGAGTAATGTCATATTGTTTTGTACACTCTGAACCAACCTGTTTTGTGCGTACGACCCCCTCCTGCAGACACACAAAACAAAAACAACAACAAAAAAGAACAAGCAAACAAACAAAACCCTTCATGAAGTAATTACATGAAGTGACCAGATTGGTGTTTCAAGCTATTTATTCCTTTAAAAAAAAAGACTAGCACTGACTGGAAAAAAAGCAAAGCTGAAAGACTGAAATTATTGAATGTTCTGATTATACTCTTTTAAGAGTACATCACTTACTCCCTCACAAGCTGTTTGCAGTTAATAAAGCGTCACTATTTTTCACCAGTATTGTATCTTTAAATGTCAAGAATCAGATGTCTGCTCTTGGAGCTATCATACTGCCGGTTAATGTTTGTGGCAAGAACGTGGATCAGAAAATTAACACAGTTGCAGTCTTGCAAGATCTGTGGATTGGTTTTTATGCATTTTATTTTGAAGCAGATATGGCACATCTAACTGTGCATGGACAGTGGAGTAATGTCAAGCAAAGAAGAGAAAAGACCATGAGGAAAAAAGAGGTTTGATCAGAGGAATCTTTGTATTATATAAAAATAGTTAGATAATGTCTGTGCTGATCTGTTTGCCAGCTATTTAGTTCTATATCTATGTACTGTATATTTCAGACTAGTTTTCTCTTGTGTTTAGCTTTATGTGGCATTCTGTAATGTCATTTTGGAAGTTGGTCCATACTTAGGTAAAGGAGAGGACTGTCTTTTAGAGGACAATACCAATGCTAATCCTGCTGTCCTCCTAAGCTGCCTGTGGTAGTTATAGTTCAGAGGACCTATAAATGAAACTGGGGTTTGAAGGCATTCTGTTTTGAATATAAAATATGCATTGTCTATCGGTTTATAAATTATGAAAAGGATAAAACCTGTGTCTTGGATGAATTCTTATGATTCTATATCCCTGTGCTTAACAGAATAGGGATTTATGGAGTGTAGCTGACAGTAGCAAAATTTAGATGCTTTACCAAAGGTCCAGCTAGAAAAAAATTGTAAGCCACCTCTAGTTGGGTTTTATTTATATTAGTCCTTAGCAGGGACTTGACTGTTAGGTGGCTCTTGATCTGGTATGTGACCAGGTGGTAGGAAAACAAAGGGGGAAATATGCTAGCATCATCTTTGCATGCGACTTTCCTTGGGGACTTAACAGACAGGAATAGACTTCTAAAGTAGAATTAGAGCACATTATCTGTGCTTTCTCTGATGAATGTCCAGTAGTCCCCTAAAGCAGTATGCCAAATGGCCAAAGGTTTTCTCATACATTTGCTCTGCTTACTATACCTAGATAGAAGTTGCTTGCCAAATCTGGAAGAAATCAGTATAATGTAATAGTAGCAATAATAATAGTATTATTTTTTCAAGGTGTTTAAAAATCAGAGAAATGTCTTAATGGGGAGGTGATTAGTATTTTAAGTATCATTTAATCCTACATATCAATCAAATAAGAATGCAAAGTTGAAAAGGATGTATAGGAGCATAGATTCTTTCAGTGATTCTGTAAAGGGCAGCAATACAAGTGTAAAGCATATGCGTTCAACGATGCATGCCTATCTCCACCAGAAGGTATCATGTAAACTGATAGTGTTATATAAATAATGACAATACTTACACAAAATGTGCTAGGGACAAGAAGTATTATAGTCCTTCATCAAAAGCTAATTTCATCTGAAAGGGAGAACTTTCAAAAAAGTAACTCCAAATAAGGGAAATTCCCAGCATACTCTTAAAAGTATTAAAGGAAGGGTTGAGTGTGGGTTATCATTAAACTGTAGATTATTGTTGAAAAGTGGTAATCTGGTATCCAAACCCATCCACAATAATGAACTATTACATTTAAAGCTTTGTTAAGAAGACAATTTACTGTAGCAGAAATATGCCAGAAGAAAGGATGTGATAAAGATGGCAATATAATTTGGAAAAAAATAGAATTAGAAATAGAACATAATTACAGATGCTGAAAGTAGCAAAGAAAAGATGGACACAGCAAAAGGGATAGATTAATAGCTGTCCAGTTGGCTGCCAAAGAAGGATTTTACTTGGAATCATAGAATAACAGAACAGTAGGACTGGAAGAGGCCAAGAGTACCATCAGGTCGAACCCCCTAGTTAGTACAGGACTCCACATTAAACCAGATGACAGTCCAGTTGCATCCTGAATGCCTCTAATGCAGAAGAGCCCTCCCTTGGTAACTGGTTCCATTTTCATACAGGTCGAACAAATCAGTAAGTTCTTCCTGATTTTCAGCCAGATTCTGGTTTCTTGTGTCTTGAATCCACTGTGAATCCACTCTGTGTCCTGTGCTCTGGGATGATCAAGAAGAGACCCTGGCCTTCCTCTTTGTGACAGTCTTTAAATAGTGCTACCATATCTTCCCTCAGTTTTCTCTTCCAGAGGCTAAACATGCCCAGTTCTTTCACAGGGCTTTCTTTCCAGTCCTTGGTTTATCGTTGTTACTCTCCGCTGAACCCTTTTTCCAGCTTGTCTGAACCTTTCTTAAACTGTGGTGCTCTGAACTGGATGCAGTAGTCTAGATGAGGCCTAATCAGTGCTGAGTAGAGGAGAACTAGTACTTAACATTATTTGAAAATGATACTGCTATTATTTGCCACATCACATTGTTGACTCCTATTCACTTATGATCTACAACACTTCCAAGATCCTTCTTGCAATATTGTTGAGCCAAGTACTCCCCAACATGCAATGATGCATTTGGTTTCTTTTTCCTAGGTGCAGAACTTTGTATTTGTCCCTACTGAATTCCATTCTGTTCTTTTCAACACAGCACTCCAACCTTGAATCTTGTTTCTGCCTTCTGGGTTTTAGTTATCCCACCCAGTTGTGTCATTTTCAGATTTAATAAGTGTTCCTTGAACCTCCTCATCCAGATTATTAATACAAATGTTGAAGAGCACCGGGCCCAGGAATGAACCCTGTAGTACCCTACTTGTTATCTCTACCCAGTTTGAAAAGGTGCCATTGACGAGCACCCTTTGAATCCAATTCTGTAACCAGCTGTTGATCCACCTGATAGTTGCTCCATCACTTAGCGCTTACAGCTAATTTGTTATTCAGGATATCATGGGCACTTTGTTGGACGCTTTGCTGAAGTCATGATACATCATATATATGACATTCCCACAGTCAGCCAGAGAGATTATCACTACATTGTTTTCAAGGTGTTAGCAGAATGTCTGCTTTATAATGTGTTCCCGATTTTTCCCAGGAATTGATATCAGATTGACTGGTCAGTAGTTCCCAGGTTCTTCTTCTTTTTCTCCATTTATCTGGCACTATCCCCTGTCCTCCATGATTTCTCAAAGACAAATGAGTTTTGTCAACGGTCCTGAGTTTTTCCACCAGCTCTTTTATGACTCTAGGATAGAGCTCACAGGGGCTCTGGAGATTTGAACTCATTCAATAGAACATGGGTCCTCAAACTACAGCCCACAGGCTGGATCCGGCCCACCATGCCCATTGATCCGGCCCGCCATAGCTCTCCACATGTACACGCTCATGGCAAGGTGCTGGCTTGCTCACAACGAGATCGTTTTGGACTTGCTCAGAGAACTCTCCCACCTTGGACTCCCCGCCTTGCCGGTAGATCCTTTCCTCAAAGCGAGGGGGAGATTGTTTTGGACTTGCTTGGAGAAAATGATCTCTGCACACACATGCCCCTGCCTTTCTGTGCATACACCCATGCACCCCCCCACCCATCCCATGCCCCCTGCCCGCACCACCTTGGCGACCCACGCCCATCCCTGGCACCTTTCAACTAGCCCTCTATTCAAAAAGTTTGAAGACCCCTGCAATATAATGAGATGAGCCTTGACCATTTGCCTATACATTTCAAGCTGCCATTCTGCTCCTTCAGCTTGTACTTCTCCATCAGGAAGGTCATAGATCCTCTTTTAGGAGAAAACTGAAGCAAAGTAGGAATTGACCATTTCTGCCTTTTGTTATCTGTTATCATTGTTCCATCCACATTAAATAGTTAAACCCCAATTTCTTTGCTCTGCCTTTCACTATGGACATATCTGAAAAAGGCTTTTTTGTTGTTTTTAGCAAGAATAGCTCAAGTGAAGAATAGCTTCCTCTACTTCCTGTAGGAAGAAGTTGTCAGCAACACGTTTTAGGAATTTCTTAGAGGAGTAGAATTTCTTAGAGGGACAGATATCCAAAAAGTCCCCCATAACTACAATACCATGCCTCTTGCAACCCTGGCAATTTACTTTTTAAAGATTTCATCCTTATCTTCTCCTTGACTGAGTGGTTGGTAATAGATGCCAACACCATGTTCCTTTTATGCCTTGCTCCATTTATATTAATCCAGATGCTCTTAATTTCTGTACTGAGATGTGTTGTCCCCCCCCCTTCTGTTCTTCTTGAACAGGTTATATCCTCTAATTGTTGAATTCTAGTCATGGGAGTCACCATACCAAGTTTCAGTTGCACCTATCAGGTCATAATTGCCTTCCTGTATTAAGAGTTCAATGTCATACTGTTTGCTTACCATACTCTGAGTATCAGTA